TATTTAATTAAATACAAATTATTTAGTGCATTACTACCAATTAGTATATGAAAAGTAGGGTTAAGTGTCATAAATAATCAAAAAATATTATTTTTTGTATGTGAAAGACTTAAAATGTTAACTGAAAGACTGCCAAATTTCATGAAGATATACACACTATATTGAAAGTTAGAAGTATTAAATCTATAAAGACTTTAAATGAATACAAAGAGGTCATGTGGTCAGTCAAATTGACTGAGCCCATGTTGAAAGAGTTAAGCTAGACCAAGTCAAAAACTATGAATGACGTATGTGTGGGGAAATTTTACATTGTGTTCCTCAAAAAGTCAGTGACATAAGTGTGAAACAACATCTATCATGACGACATATAATGAGGACCCCCTGTAATTACAACACACCATAATAATCAAGACTAAGAAACAATGATTAGCCAAAAAAATTGATGATACCCTTATATTCAAGTTACAAGAGTAAATTAACAATATTTTATTTAAAACTAATATGAAGTTTCTCCTAGGGAGCTATGAGTGTCCTATGATGCTCAAAGAAGTTTCATCCACTAATGATTTTATTACAAGTGTGTTGAAATCAACCAGAAATCAAAATTTGATTTATCTTTGTTTTATAGAATACATTTCAACTCTGAGCTTTTTTGGTATTTTTAGTGTGTGGAAAAATGACTACAAGTTTACTTTCTATAATTGTTTTCATTCTATGGTCAAATGCACCCAAGGCAGACTGCAACCATCCATTAAAGAGAATTAGATACATCTTACCTTCTACCTGGTCATACTTGGGATTAAAGAAGCAAAAATTATCTGCAAGTTCTCGTCTAACAACCGCTTCTTCTATATAAGCATCCACAGACTTACTGTATTTATTTCGAAACTGCTTTACAGTCAGGACACATCTTTGCACTGATATCTGACCTGCAGCAAGGATTTTAATCTTGTTTAGTCAAGTAATAATTTTACAAGTAGCAACGAGAGATTATACAGGTATAAATTGAGTCAAATCATTATTACTGCCAAGCATAATCATAAAAACCAACAGTTTCAACTTTATCCACCTATAATGAAAATTTTGCATCCAGTTAAAAGCTGTGACATTTATTAGAATCCAAGAAAAATGTTACTACAAGTTTCTCTGATGTTCTTTTTGTACAGTTGCTACTGAACTTTGAAGAAAATCGTTTGGATATATACTTATTTAGATACTTAAAATGACTATACATATTATATGCATGATGGTTCAAACAGTTGTTGGCCTATATCTAAATTTCTTGAATGTGGATAACATTTAAATTGCAACATCAAAATTTATTGGTCATTCATCAGTTTGTGTTCCATGCTTATGTATTGTACTCATATGCTTATACCTTAATCTGAAACATGAAAATTGAAAAATTATAACATAGTTCTGGGTCATAGTCCAAACGTATACTTTTGTTGAAATCCATTCAGCCATTTTCGAGAAATCTTGCTGACAAACACACACACACAAAGAAACACTCACACAGAGAGGGGTGAAAACATAACCAAATGTGATGGAGGTAACAACTGCATTGGTTGATTTACACTTCTGGAGAAGAAATCAAATATACTGGTAAACCAAACTACATTTATTAAAAAATACTATTCTATTTCCATTTCGTGATTAACTTTTAAGAAAACGTTTTACATAGCTGCTATTAAATGTTTAAAAAATATCCCTGCTTCATTATAAAGCAATTTTAAATTAAGATTTAAGAACCAGTGTTAACAGATGGATTATTCTAAACTAGAAAGAAATTCACACACAAAAAAGTTTTTTTTCATGTTAGTAAAGATATTCAAACCATCATGCCACAAATACTAGGTGCTCTTTGCTGAATGCTTGTAAAATTATCATTATTTTTCTCTCTAACCAAAAATTTCAAGATTAAATTTAGAAATAAAGATTAAACATCATTTCAATACTTTGTTTTTATTCTGGAATAAATAAAAGTCTTACCAATTTATAAATTTTTATTTTAAAATATTTATTAAAAAATTATATTTGATACAAGCTTTAAAACTTTCTATTAATTTAAAGACATTACCTAGCAAATAGTATGAAACAATAATCATATCCCAAGAATGGATTTAAATGAAGTTTTAATTGAGGATGAGAACATTTAAACCACTTGTGAGCATCAACTAACCAAAATGAATCCAAGGTGATAGGTTACTGAGGCTGTTTTTTGTTGGATCATTACGACTGTCAGAGAAGTTTTTAAGTCGAATGTTGCAAAAGTTGAATAGCATCTTAAGGCCTTCTTTGGTGCCTGGTGTGGCCCATTTAACTTCTTTAACAGACTGGTCAACCAGCAAGCTAGCCTCTGCTGCTTTCCAGTCAACTGGCTGAAATACAATAAGAATTAGCTTATGTACCTACTTACTTATGACTTTATCAAATGGTAATATTCCAATATGTATGCATGCAATTATAGATGCTAGCTTCATGTATCATTTTCTGATTATTATATTAATTCACTTTTGTTTGGTCAAAATTTTTATTATGTAATGTGAAAATACAAGTTAACAAGCTTCTGTTAAGGGCTATGAAATAATGTTTATAACATTAACAATATTTATGACTACAAAATTTATAGCATTGATTTTACTCTTGGATCTTAGCCCTAAAAATTAAATTGTGAATACTAACAAAACACTTGTTAAAGATGAGACATGCTCATTTTGTAAACTTTTGCTGCTTTATAAAAAATAATTTGCATGTCCCTAAACTTCACAGTATTGGAGTAAATTTTACATTTTTAGAATTAAAGATTAATTTCAAACAGGTACTCTGAAATACTGAAAGTCTTCCCTTGTTGAATTACTCTCATGCTGTTAACAAAACATGAAACTCAAAATTTCCAAATGTCTTTTGCACAATGCTGATCATGTGTCACCCATAATTACTCACTCTCCCATCTTCCACCTGATTTATTGTACATGTTCAGGCCCATACACTGAGTGTTTGAAAGGGGGTTTCTAATTTGTGAGACCAAAAGCCAACACATATTGTGTGAAGTACAATCAGCCAAAAAATGCTAATACTTCATCAGAATGATGTATATTATGTAGAAAACGTTACCCCCCCTCCATGTGTACGTGCGTGGTGTTAGGGGCACTTACATAAGATCTGCTTTCCTGCCATAACTTAAACTTTTTTGCAAGTTGTAGTCGTGTTGAAAATTTGGTTATGGAGAGATGAGAAGGAAGATAATTCAAGGTAAGCAGCTGTTTAAAATTCCTCTTAATTCCAAAAATGTAAAATGTAAACCAGACTTACTTCTGAGGTAAAATAATGAAAGCCAGAATACCCACATTGTAAAGGAGGTAGGAATATAATCTATCTGGACTACAAAAAATATGTAGCCAAGGAGAGATGGGGCAGAATCCAGAACAAGAAACTACGATGGAGAATGAGTGAAAGAGACCAGCTTTATAAAAAGAGTGGACATAAAGGACACTTACAAAAAAGGCATTCTACTCAGTAGGGTACCTCTTTGCTCATGATATCCTTTAATTCAGGCAAAGGGTTCAGTTTTGTGAGTGGTAATGATGTATTGAACCTGTGGAGCCAAAACAGAAACAGATAATGGCATAAACAAGGAGGAGGAAAATGGTGGTGTAGGAGGAATACTATGTCCTACTCCTGAAAGGCTCTTGGAGAGCAACCCAGACACATTTTTATAAAAAAGACATACTACAAAGTGTAGCCCCCTCCTCATTCATACTTAAAATGGTTAGGAAGTCACACAACTTACCAAATTAGTGGGCACCCAGGGAAAACTGAGAAAGACCCAAAGAAGTCCAAGGATGGGTTTAAGAGCATAAGGATAGTGCAATGGCAGCATCAAAACATACAAAAATAAATTAAAACATGGATGATCTCCATCCTGGTTGGACTGGAGACATCTAGTGATATCTCCAATGTCATTGAAAGTGGTAAACACACACAGGTTGGTAAAGTACTTACTGAGACATCATCAGCCATCAGATGACACACTTAGTCCACTTTCAAAGGGCAACACCCTCACATGGAGCATGGATCCCCAGCATGAAGGGTTGAATGGTGTAGAGGACAAACAAAAAGGTTAAAACATATGAGCATGTTGACTGGATGAATTTAGATAAATACTGTAACTTCCTTCAGAAGGAGAGGCTGTATTAAATGTTTTTTGTATTTACTAGTAAGCGTAAAATGAAATATTCACAAACCCATACACTCTAAAAATAGTGAACAACAGGAATGGGAGGTGTTGGACAATGGGGAGTAGAGATAAAAAAAGCTCACCAGTTATAGATTCTATTGAATTTGGAGAATAACCAAAAACAGAATCATGAAGCTGTACAGACAGCAATATGATGAGGGTAAAACTGCAAAAAAGTTGTTGAATTTGCCCACATGCTGGTCTGCAAGATATCCTGTAAAGGGTACCAAGATTTGGAGGCCAAAGACATAGACAAATGTCAAATTTGACAACATGTAACCCATAAATCATACCAAAGGTGTTTGGAAACATCATGTTAAACAAGATGGATCAACTGCATAGGCCAATTTGTTAATGTTTATAAAGCACAATCCATGGAGCAAGATTCATTATGAGGAACAAATAACCAATGTTGAATCCTGCAAAGAAGAATTAGTTTGTGCAAGATAGCAACAAACAGCCCTGAAGAAACATAGGATACATTCCGTGGAATTAGATTTAAGGTGAGATAGCTTAACTCTCTTGCTACAAGGTCGGTATAATCGAATGACCTCATAACCACTTTGTACTCGTTATAGTTTCCATACTATAACTTTTAATACACTTTGTGTATCTTCACAAAATTTGGCACATTCTTTTAGTAAACATTACAAGTCTTTTGTACACAAAAAATAAGATTTTTAATGGAGTATTTTTACTAAAGATTTGTCCGTGAATATATATAGTATTTTTATATACTAGTCCGAGTGCTAAGTGATTTCCACCTTAAGATTAAAAATACTTTTCTTCATGTCAAAAAATTTTAAATTTTATTTGAATAATCTCTAAAACCTCCTAAATAAAATTCAAACATTTTCTTTCAGTAAAACTATATATTTTATAAAATATTTTTTCTACCCTACCTTTATACAAGGTTAGTAAATTTGACTGACCTCATAACCTCCAAAATAAATTGAAATAAATCTAAATTACCCATTTTTCTTTCTAGAATGACTTCAAATTGTATTATGAAACTACATTTGTTTATCCTAAATAGCTTTAAACTCATAACAGTATAGATCTGTTTATACTTAAATTTTATTGTTTTATTGCCCTTCAAACCCTAATTAATATTCACATCATTATAAGTTGCATATCATTGGGCTAACATGCAACTCATGTTACACTATTGAATTACATTACACATAAGCTACTTGCGAGCTGCTCATGAGTGTACCTCATGAAAATGTTTTTATACTATTATTATTATTTATTTCACCTAATCTAACCTAAACTAACATAAAAAGTTTCCTATTTTTATATTTTAGTTACTTTTATAATAATAAATAAAGAATACACATGAAAAAAATAAGAAAAAAGTACTTATCTGTGTCTTTTGCTGTCGATGATGCTTAACCCTACTTTTTATACTAATGGTAGTAATACATGAAATAATTTTTTATTTAATTAAATAATGCATTAAAGAACACAGAATAATAACGTGCAAAAAGCAGACAATGTCCCATAACTATCACAATTTTTCTGGCTTTTTAACTATGTGACAAAAGCCATTAGGAATTCAGCTAAGCTCGTTGATGTTTTTCCTGTGGGAATAAAGGTTGAATTGAAAGAGAAACTGACAATTCTCTGTACAGAAAACAATGTAATATCACATGTCATTTGATAGATGAAAACCTTGGCTTTCTATTTGTTATAAATACTGTATTATAACATTAAAGAGGACTACTGGCAATTTCTGAAAGAAAAGATGTGACAGGTGGAAGAGGCAAGAGGGGTCTGGTTGTCTATTTCTTGGCTTTGTAATGAAATAAGATTGGAGGTATGAAAGTTATGCTTTGTCTGAGCAATGACAATATTATAATAAGTAATTTCGGTAAAATATTGTACTTCTTGGAGGGGTGGTAAGTAAGTTAAAGAAGAGGGGATGTCTAGAGAGCAAATATCACAATTCTCACACTAGGGGAAATACCAGATTTTTTTTTTATATTGCCTTATTAAAGGAAGAACTTAAAACTTGTATATACTATTAAAATATGGATTATTAGCTATGTTTTTTGTGGTATATTTATTGGTATACCATGAAAAAAAGTGGTTTAATAAACATTTGAATATAACTCATTCAAACCTCATGACAAGCACAAAGAAAGATGTCCGTGGAGAAAGGGTTAAGTAACACTGTAGGAGAAAAGCAATTGTAATCTCTTCTGATCAATTAAATTTGAAGTACACAGGCCTGATGGGGATATAATTTCAAAGTCTTTCAAAATAAAAAAAGAGTAAAAAGCATCAATGGTAAAATTCTTTGACAGTCTCCTCCCTGAAACAAGTAGCAAAAGAAAACATGTCTTCAGGGAAAGACAGTATAGTAAACATGTTGTCAAGAGTTCAAAGTGAGAAGATAATAGATGACCTCAGACCAGGCTTAAATCCCACTGACGACAATGTAAAGATACTCATGACTGATGTAGAAGCTTGTCTACTTAGTTAGTGAAAGCCAATATAATCAAGAAAGAGAACCTGCTGGAATATTCACAACACCAGACACATTGCTAGATCAGAGAATGATAAAGTGTGAATGTAGCCAAAAAGAACTGCAGAGAGGAAGCAAACTCAGTGGTCCAATGAATGTGAGTCAAGGACTGATGATTCAACTGAGCTAGGATAATCCAATCCTCCACATAATGAGGATAATTGACATATAGTGTGTGTAGAAAATTAGCAAAAACTCGATGACTATACATGTGAAGACAAAGGGAGCTCAAACCAATCTGAAAGAAAGGCCTTGAACTGATAAGCTATTCCTAAGTGTACAAAACAAAGAAACAGATGAGAAGACTTACGAATCAGAATCTGTACATACGCATCTTTGATATCCATTTTCATCATCCAATAACCTTGATGAAGGACCTTGCATAGCATCCATCCTGAAAGAAAGAAAGAATACTGAGATAATGACTAAGACAGGAAAGATCTAATACCGGTACCAGATGGTACTGAACCATCAAAGAGGTATTCATAAAACCTGCAGGGATACCCCTTAAAAACTCAGCAAGAATGATGCAAATACTTTGATTGACAAAAAATTCAGACATTGCAGTGATGGAAAATTTCCAGCATGCCCAGAAAAGAGTAGTGAAATAGAGCCTCAACAGAGGCAGTAGGAGTAGAAACAGAAACATTAAGAGAATTGACTGAAACGAAAAAGAAGTATTAGCTTCAGAATTCTTCACGAAAAAAAATACTACATGATGTAGACAGCATGACTGTCAACATAGAAATCTAAATTACAGAAGAAAAGTAAAGCTTATGTAAGATCCCCTGATGTATGTGCAATAAGTCATGTAGAAGGTGGAGAATTATGGGTAAATGATGCCCGCTCTGCAAGGTGTAAAGGACATTAGTAATTTTGAGTCACAGGTTTTGTTGACAGCATGAGTTCAAACTCATCAATGTATGTTTGCCTGAATTGAAAGGAACTACAAGTGATAGTTAATGTTCATCTCTAATCATCCCATAGTGGGGTAATTAGGGACACTTGATAAACTTTACATAATTCTGGACCCTATGATTTTCCCATAAGATCCAGTTGACTATAATATTGAGCTAAATTGGACCACCTATCTACCAATTATATTTATCTACAAGCCACAGCTTTAGAAGTGAGACTATGTATGTGTCACCATTTAGAACAATCTGTCCTGTCAATCCCTGACTACTTAATTTTACAGTAATAGTAAATATATTCAGCCATGTCATATGTCTTACTATAAACTGCAGTAGAATTAATTGTTTAGAAGATATGGAAATTATACTAAACAATGAAAACAAAACAAATACTTACAATAAGGTACTAAAAAATTATTACATAATTAGGACTAAATCGTTGCTTACAGCTTGTGCCTAACTATATTATGAAAACACAGTCAAGTCAGGAACCAAGTAATGAAAAAAATTTGTATTTTTCATTTTATGCCAATCTTAGAACATACTAATCCTACGAATTATTCATTACAGTTACAAGAAGACAGTAATAATTACTAGAGTTTTTACTGTTTATAAAGTACATAATTTGATAATATGACATAACTACAGTACAGTTATATTGAGTGTCCTCGCTGTTTGAAAATAATTCTTTTGTGAAAATAATATTAAATGCTACCAAGTATTCTACCATGAAACAAGAGAAATGTAGCTGATACGCAGAAAAAAAAGATGCAAAAAGCACTTGAAAATATTTAGGACAATAAGAAATCTGGTATTAAAAATAACTTTATTTTCATAGTACTCACATTGTCCCATAAGTATTAGCTAAACAATAATTAATGTCTATACCTGAGACTTCAAGCAAGGATGTGGGTGACATATCACAGGAGGGAACTCAGTCATGTAAGTAGAAAGTTTGTCATGAATCTTCCTGCGAATGGTACGAGCCCCATATTCTAGTTTCTCAGATGCCTCCCAACAAGGGACAATATTGTGTGCATCAACCTTAAAAGAATGTTGAAAAACTGAATGACTAGTCTTGTAAGCTATTTATAAAGTAATGAGTCTGTTATGCAGACTTATATTTACAATATAACTTATAATTTTGAACGAGTTTCCATCTTTCTTTCTTTAACACTGAGAGAACTCCATGCAGATAGCCAGTGATGTTCAATTTGTTATTAATATTTACAAATAAACTATATTCTTAGAAACTAACAATTAATGTAATATTATTACCAAAATATGTTAAACGTAACCTATATGAATCACAAATGGTAAATCTAATGAAGGTTTAACATGGATACTAACAGTATATGTTACTGAACTATGATAAAGATTCAGTATAGCCCATGTTCTGCCAAATAATGCTTACATGAACATGTGAAGTATTTGGGAATGTAGAATATCTTCGCTTGCATTATTTCTGGTGGCTCGAACATAATTGCTTTCAAACTGAGTAAACATTATACATTACACATAAACAAACACATGTGCATATATCTATTTAGACAGAACAACATATTTCAATAAGATAAATTAATATTTCAAAAACGTGCACTGATACGTTATGTCCAACTGTATAAAACAAGATTCATCTTTGAAAAGTAAACTCTCAACACCACCACAAGGAATGAAACCAGCTATTCAATATAGGTAATGGTATACCTTATGATGTTATCAGTCATAATGATGATTTGCTATCATTAATAAATGAGAATAATCTTCAAAGTTAAAAGTTTTTCTCTTGTCTAACAAATTAGTAAATACCTCCATTTTATCTTTTTTTATTAAGACTGACATCTTACGTGTGATAACTGAAATTTATCCAAGATATTTAATTCATTGACCAAAATTTTTTAACCATTTTCATAACTAACATTTCAGTGAAAATCAGATCTTATAACTGGTTAACCAAGTTCAAGAAGTGCAATAAGAGGTGGCATTAATGTTCACAATAAATGTTCTCTTATGACACAAATGAATAGAATATGTATGTAATTGCACCTGAATTACCTGCCAGAACACAATCTCTGATGGCAACATTTGTTTGACATCATTCACCCACTTTAAAGGCACACGTAATGGACTAAAGTCTACAACAACTGCTCCAATCTGATTTTTCTTGATAAAATTTGGAAGTACTTTGTACGCTTCACCCAGAAGTAGATGAAATCCAATGTTTAGTGACACACATTCCTAAAAATGAAAATAAGCATAATATCTTAATAGTTTATGTTAAAGCTACCTGTAGATTAAGGTACAAAATCAGATAATGTTTTGTATATTTGATTTTCACACATTTTTCTAGTTTACACACACACACACATATATATATAAATATATTCGTCTTGAAATATAAACACCAATTATAAAAAAATAATTAATAAATAGAATTCTGGTATCAACTGCACACAAAACTTTTTTTTCTCCACCCCAATATGCAATGTTCTAAGAATACTGTTAGGATGTCAAACCTTCTAACAAAATAACATCACAAAATTGCACCTTTAAATTTTGCTATAATTCTATTTACTTTTGTGCTAGACAAATTATCAAGAACTTTTCCTCAAGTTTTAGTTTTGCATGTCATGGTTACAAGCACATTCAAAATATACAATATTGTACACACTTCTTTAATAATATATTACATTTTTCAGATATCTCAGGGTTTGAGTTATTTTTCAAACTACTAATATGTATTCTAAAATCATGAATAACACTGTACAAGAAGTAATTTCATATATATCCTAGAATTACATTTACTGACCTAAAGACAATTGATTTTGACTAAAAGTTTCATATTAAATATAGTTGGTAATTCAATAACTTATTTAAAAAATAATGGAGCAATCATCCACATATATATATACAAAATATATATTAAATAAAATGATTAGAATTTCAAGTGTCTTAGAAGCAAAGCACACACATATGTATGAAAGGTTTCTTTAACATACAAATGTTTTTGGGGTGTACACAATTTTGTAGATCAATGATCTAAGGATAAGCATATGCTAGAAGCAATGTATCTGTTAAAAATTTACATGTATATAAGATGAGCATGGAATCAGTTTACTACAGCCTTTCAACCATTACTACCATTAGATACAATTCCTTATTACAAGTTGCAATATAAAATTAATATTTTAAAAGTACTTTAAATTGGTTAATAAATCTATAATTCTTTTAGACTGTTTCACAAGTCCCATCCTGCTAACATAGAAGTTTTGGAGCCTTTTGTGAACAGTATACCAGTAAAATTAATATAGCAATTGTTAATCAGTTAGTCAAAAGCTTAAAAAAATCTTATTCTTCTCACACTGTGCGTTGGTACTTATTTCAGTAATTCAACGAAAATCTTCTATAATTTGAACCCACTAAACAACATAAATTCCATTGTCTTCAACATAAAAAAAACTAACAGAACAAAATTTATGATTTTTACCAAACAAATTTCCCAACATTCAACAGTAGTATGAAAACAAATCACCTTTTCTACTTCTTGTAAACCTTTCAAAATAAACTGATAGTGACGAATGGTAGCATCGAGAAACTTTGGAACAAGGCAGAAACACACATACAAAGGACAACCAACTGCTAATGCAACCTTCTGGGCATACAGCAGAGCCCAATTATCTGTTAGGTAAAAAAAAAGAAAAAATCATTCAATAACTTTGTTCATTCACTGAATATAATCCTATAAGGAGGGTTTAAGTTAGTCTTAATTATCTAAAAAGTTCATAGGATTCACATCCTAATATATATATCCATGTTTATATAATATTTTACATGAATTAAAAAGTATACATAAAAATATATATTGAATATACTTTCAAAATATTATCATACTACTGGTAGTTGCAAAATGAAATAACATATATATATATGTACCAGTGTATTACAATATCCAACCATATATATAAAACACTAAAGATACAATATACCTAAATATGTATCTTAAATTTTTGTAATTATTGAAATAATATATTAAGATAGTACGGTAACCATTATTTACATGGGCAAAATTAATAATTCATGTGTGTTATTCACATCAAATCTAACACAGACCATCCATGTTATATGCAGAAAGATTGGACACAGATATATTTCATGCAAGAAGGGATACCTACTTTAATAACAATTAACTTTTTGTATTTTGAAATGTTAGTGATTTTTTTTTATCCTCTTACTTAGTGAATGTTATTTAGTACAACAAACAAATTATAGTTTTCTAATGAACATACTTTGTGAGTCTATATGACCCCACACAAAATCATTCTATTAGATAGTGATTAAATAATAAAGCAGATATTTATCAAGCCCAAAATTTGTTAATATATACATTTATAAAACATGTATATATAATACTTTGTCGACATTTTGATATCATGAATTATGCCATGATTAACATCAATATTACAGATTCACTAGTCAATTATGATTAATAAGACAGCTGACTTGACAGATTCAAGACTTAGCAGTAGACCTCTAAACATTACATGACATTTAATTAGAATATTCACCTCTTTCTAAGAAGACATTTTTATATTTATTTCTCATGCTTAGCCAGGTTTTATTTTCTATTTTTATTTCCATAGTTTGTAGAAAGTTTAAGCTGTTACTAAATTATTTATACACTACTTATTATATGAAGTATTTATTATGTCTTACACAAATTCATTCCTATATCCTCTTCAAACCTTTTTTACTCCTTCAAATGTTTCAGTTTTAGGTCATTTCAGTATCACACTAGTATGCTTACTGAACTTCATTGTGATAATTACTGCTATATTAAGGAAAACAATTTTCACTTTATTAAGATGAACTGGTCAGAAACTATGGGGCACAGAAATTAAGAAAACATGAGTACATGTTCAATGACAAGAAAAATGGATTAGGTTCTTAATGATGGCACTATTACAACAAAACTATTTTGCTATTACATACACATAAGAAAATAAATTTTAGCCAATTATTTGAAAAAATGGCATAATCATATTAAACTCAACACAAGAAATTAGTACCCTCTCTTATAAGTATATTATCAAGAGTAAAAAAGAGCCTGCACGTTATCAAAGCCTACATGTAAGAGTAAAAAGACTTTTTCAAACTTACTTGCAATGTACTGGAAATCACCCTTATATCATCAAAACTTAAGGAAGTACTGTCTCTACCGAGAACTATACAACTACACAGGTAATGAGAACTAGAAAATTATGGATGTGATTATTCAAAGAATAAGAGAGACATTTTAGTTTGGATACTTTACTTTTTTACATTTCAAAGCAGTAAACTTCTAATGAAATTGGATTATACAAGGTTCAATGCAAGAGACTCGCACACAACAGGAAAACCTCCTTCCAAAGTAAATGATAGATTTGGTTTTGGACATGAATTACAAACAGGACAGCTAAACAGGGTTGATGAAAATTACAACAAGACGTAATCTCCTAGACAATGAATGTAATTAGATGTAACTATCACTGAAACAAGGGTCTGAGCTACTTACATACTGTATAAATATTTAGAGAAAAACTGAATGAAGAAATTTGGGATCACAAGCTTAAAAAAACCTATACATTATGATGAATAAAGTACAAGAAAAGTAATAATACTAGTGGTACTAGGCATAGGCTAATGAAAAAACTGCCACTATGTGGTTGAATAAACTTAAAGGTAAAATGTTAATAATGAAATGACTATTTTTTTGTCCCCACAGCCTTGTGTTGATTTTTAGTAATTTAAAGTAAAATAACATTAAATAAGTCAACTGTCCATTTCCACCAGAATGCATAAACATACAGTACACATAAACTTGACATAAATTCAGCTATATAAAGAACAGAGGGCAGGTACATTTAGTATACTGTGTAGAATCTAACCAAGATAAATTATCATTTAAAATGCTCAAAGAACCGAAAACTTTAAAAGTCCAACCAGTAATATAAAAACATTCAGTATTACATACAGAAGGTGGTACTTTAAAATGTTTACTGCTTGTGTTAGCAACCAACCAAATGTTTTCATCAGTGCTTGTAAAGAAAGTTTTTAACTAGTCAACAGTGAGATTCCATTAAACTGTAAGATTCTACTGTAGAGCTTCAAAACGTAATAATCCAATAAAAATCACAATTCAACAAACAAACCAAACGGCCTGATTTAAATCAAATATTGAAAATTATTGCAGCATAAGATACAAAAGCATGACCTGGGCATATAGCATAATCTAGGTATGTTAGTTTATAGAACCTGGCACCAATATCAGAACTCAAATTTACATACGCAAAGATGTTTAATAACAATTTAGCAACTATTAGCAAAATAACCATTTGTCATAGAAACTTGTAGAAAAAAAATATTTGAGAATATATGTTTTTCAGAATTGAGAAATTATATCTCTGTATTCTGAAAACTTAGCAGACATGATTGTGTAATAAGCTCTAACTTGTATATCTCTAACCAAGCTGCATTCTTGTGTGCCTGGCTTATGCAGTTTTAGTAGTTACCAGAAAATGAGATTTCAACACACTAAAGAATGATTATTGGGTACTAACAAAACACTTGATCAACTTACAACATATTTACATAAAGCAACAGATTGAATTATTTATCGTTATAGCAAAACTTATTTACACATGACAATAGCTACCACGACAAATACCTCAGCACCACCCAGTATCAATAATTTTGTCTCATTGCAATAGTAGTAGTACAGTTAACTAATGGAATATGAGTTTGCATCATGCATAAACAAACTTAAGAGACTAGTCAACTAAACGACAGAAAAAAAAACAACTCAAAATATTGAAGTGAATAAAATATAAAGGAATACCACCCCACAATCTATATCATACTTTCTCAGGCTTCCCACTCCCAAAAGCCATTAACTTTCACACGTACAATATTTTTAGATTTAACAGCTAGTTGTATCTACAATGTTCTGACCTTTAAACAAACAAATAAGTTTTAAATCTAGTTCTTACCTCAAAGTATGCACAAGTACTTTAATGTAGCAATAATCTAACAATCAGTGTTTTGGCTTTGCCCTTTATAAGCTAGTGGGATAAACTTCTTTGATGAGTTAATCATGCAGAACGATGCATTAATTCTCTATCTACTTCATTCCTAAATATAGAGATTTACATGGATCACCATTATCAAGGTTAATACTTTTTACAACTCCTTGTCGTAGTCTTTTTCAGTCTTAAAACATTTGTCGTCAGTTAATTTTCATCTTTTACTTCAACAATAATAGTCCTTTTGTAATGTCTTACTCTTAACCTAATCATGATAAAACTAGAGTTTATCATATTAAACATAAATATCCATTAACTACATTTTAGGAAAACCAAATAAGTACCTTGAACACGCTGGTCTCTTGACATCCAATATACAATCCCTTTGCAATTTTTAGATATATCCTTGGAAGATGAAATAAGCCTTGCCCGTTTTTCAATGAAGTTAAATTCTGAAACTGATTCAGCACATTTCCGTCTTGCTTCTTCTACATCTTTCAAAATATTACTACTAAGCTCAGTTTCTTTGAATGGTTGAGACTTCTGTATTTTATGGGCAGTTCCAGCTTCATCCACCTGCTTTCTTTTGATTGGTTTTGGAGACATTGTCAACAAGTTACAGAATCTGTGTGTTACTGGTTTAGTCCAGAATATATACTGACAGAACTTCAGGGCTGTATTTGAGCAGGAAGTGACTAGAAAAGACCATTATATATGACTAGCTTTTATTACAGCTTCTACAAGTGTTGTCATCACCATAAAAAAAAAAGTCATTTGAGTGCAAAACATTTGAAAAATTGTCTTGAATAAGAAACTTAGTTCCATTTTCCACATCTAGTTATTAAAATACTGTTATGACAGCAGAAGTCACGCGACACTGGGAGCATGCACGCTGGAGTTCCTTGAAGGATCATGAATTATCGAGGAACCCCGTGAATGTTCCAGTGTTTGCTAGATGCCCTCTTTTTTAGTATATAAGCCTGGCAAGAAAAACCAGTGGCATCAGAAGAGATAT